TTGTTGATGGTATGACTTTGTCGATCGTCTGTTCAGAGGTTGCCAATTTCAGTTTGTAACTTTCGAACATGGTACTCGCGATCCCAAGTTGAAAAACACTTTCCCTAGAGCTTTTTGAGATGTGTCCTGCTGACCGTCTGTTCAGTGCTTCCTCACTTTTTGGCGTAGACTAACTCTATTTGCAACATGGAACCTCTGTTGAGGTTTCCAGACCTGCCTCAAACTACTAACAAACTGTGAGTAACCTGCTCAAAAACATCCGTCAGTTTGCAAGACTCTATTGTATGCACAGTCGTCACACAAAAAAATGAGTCAACTGGTATCCACATGAGGTGAATCTCTTGTCTAACCTGTCTTACTATTGACCAGGCCGTGGTTCCCCAACAGTACGAAATCCAACATCTAACCGTTAGAACGCGTTTTCGACTGGTCCCAGATTCTCACTGCTGGTGATTCCCGGCAAGGATAAGTCAGCAGCAACTCAGTGACTTGAGTTCGCCTAAAGTTTAGTCTTCGTGGATATCGGTACAGATGTCTGTGCCGTGATTATTGTGTGACAAGCTTCAAAAAAGCATTTTTTATGCATTTCGCGAAATGCAATTTATGGAACGGTGGTTTTCCATACTCATGGAACGTCGCCGGGATTATGCGGTACATTGCACCGTCCAGAAATTCTTTGGCCTGAACAGAATAGAGTTTTTCATGGAGGAAACTACTCACAAGGTTGCTGAAAACTCTTCAACTTTTTGTTGGATAAACCAGCCGACCATCAGTCAAAGCCAATAAGATACCGTGGACCATTTGTGTGGCAGTTATTGAAACCAACTGATTGGGAGACGCCACTAACTGGATTGTCAATGCTTGGTGAATGGAAACGCAAGAAACAAACAGTTGATGTGATGGAATGATTGTGACGCTGTCAACCGGTTGACTGAGAGAGATGTCACATGACTGCTAGTACTGTAAGCCATGGTGGATTCGTGAAACTTGACGAAACTCGCACACAACCTGTGAGCAATGAATGTGAAGATCATCAAATTGGAATTCTTCATTCGAGGATGTGAATAGTTTCCAACCTTATCCGTAGGAATACAGATCAAACCGAGACACTCATTTAACCACTCTAAAGATCCCACATTTTGATATTGTGAGCGCTGGACGATATCACTTCAACCACTCTCAAGCTGCGTAACCAGTCACCTATTTGGAATGCGTGAAGTGCCTTAGTCCGATGTCGTCATTCAGACTCCCAGCTTCCCAAGTGATCAGATCCATACACTGCCGAATAATGCGGGCTACGAATGTACACAGTCCAAGTTTTTTCATAGAATAAGGCATAAAACTTGATCGAAACACACCGTATATTACTCTTTGGGTCGTGAAATACCTTTTATTGAAGTGAAGTTTGAGGATGGTTTTGGAGTGTCTTGTTTAAGCTTTTCAGTTGGTGCTAAGCCGTGCTCCACCCGCTACGGCTAGGGAACACCTGGGACTGACTGACGTGCAGGTGCGTTTAGTGTGATGGATGACTGCTCAAAACCTTCACAGAGTCAACTGCCAATGCTGCCCCGTTTTCGAATCATCACGAAGAAGTTAAGTTCCCGGAATTTGTGTCGATCAACTTCTGGCGAAACGTTCACTGTTGAGTTCTTATGAACGCTCAACTCATTGTTGAGTCTGTCGTATTCGGCACCATACGGAGAGGCGGTGCGGCGCGATGACCGTCAACCCATTTTTCCCACAAGTTCTTTATTTTGTGCGTATCGTGGCAGTCGTTCGGTAAGATTTCACGTGACCAAACTTACACAGGTCATCAGAAGAGGCCTAATCAGAGAGGACCTCCACCATAGATCTTGTTACATCTGGGCCTAAACAGTCGTTCTTCCTATGTCTTCAAATTCAAGTTGTGAGCTTCATTTGAATGTTGAATAACCACCTAACTGCTCACAAGTAGTTGAATTCTCTGACAAAAAACTTTTGCGTGGGTGTAGCTAATTGCACTTGACACTGCGTGACTATAATTTTCCGGTGTTATGCTGGTAACCACGTATTCTAGCCTCAAGGCAAATCACTCGGCGAACCGGAAGTGTCACTTATGAGGTTCACGTAGTTTCGAAACGTGGGTTCGTCATTCAAATCAATTAAAAGAAGCTTATTCACAACCCATCCAGAGATTCAATGCGTTGCCCTGAACTCCTGGACATGAACAGAGGAAGGACAACCGACACGCAGGTTGCGGAGCAGCTGCCAGAAGCGTCTGTGTAACAACAATCACGAAGGACTACACGCAGAAGAATCCAGTGACAAAGACTCAAGTTAATCCGAGACAGAAGACTTATACTACTCAACTTCAAAGAGGAGATATTAGGAGAACTAGCTCCGAACGGAACGGGACTACATAACTGCCAATGGAATAACCGTTTTTCGTTGAGACAGATTTCATTGGTTATTCGCCACTCGACCTTGACAGATGAGTTGTACTCTTAGTATCACTTTTTTTGGGCCGCTTGTTCGCGGCAGTGATCAATAGATAAGCCGGCTCACAGGTTCGTTGACTTTTTCTGGTTTGGTCAAGTGTACCAGGCAATCAATCGGCCATCCAGAACGGGGTTCATGGTAATAAGAAGGCGTTAAGGGACTGTGGTCCACAAAAGATGCGCCACTTGCTTTTGTTTTAAGGATTAGAAAAGCCTCAACCTCATTATATTAGGGAATTTACACACTGGACAGATGTTTCCATAACACTCAAATGTGACTCTTTAAATCACTCGTTCATGACATTCTGGAACTGACTGCGCATAGGGTATCAAAGGCATAATTAAAATCCAAGATATCTGAAGCCTCTCCTTTCTCGTGTGTATCTGTTTTGTTCTGACCAAACCGGAGGCAGATACAGACTGAAATTGTTACTCCTGAGGGGGGGGGGCAGTGTTAAACTGAGAAACACATGTTTTAAGAAAGTGTATGGAACTACAGTGAGTAGATTTCAGTGCCCATCAGTTAGAATAACATATTCCAGACTCGGTTTTTATATCAGTGTTATTTCAGATGTTATCACGTCATCTTCCTCGACTGGTTTATCTCACCCGCGCCCAAGCCCTGAGGGCTTTCTTTCGTTACACTTTAACGGGTAAGCTAGCTTCGATGGAAATTTCAGAGTTTCGACTGGTTGTTACATTCCCCCCCTCCTCACTGCTTGAATCGAGATATTCGGGTAAAGTGCTTCCTTCGACTTGAACTCTGCGCATTTGGTATTTGAGGGAAATTGCCTTGATCCGTATCTCTTCAGTCTAATCGCTTTGCAACTGATTGGGCACTTTTTTCCAATTTCCCATCAGTCACCTATTGCGGAACACTCATTTCCGGTGGCGGGGGGGTTTCACGCTTGAATGATGAAAGCAATTTATTTTATCGCAACTCTGAAATGATTTTATCCGACGTGGCATTATTCTTTTGTGGTTACGTGCAAAATCCGCTGGTGATTGACCGTAGCTAATTCTCTTTGCAATTGCAACACTGTACTCGAATGCGTTCGTATTGCTGGGTTCTAACTTAGTCACAATTGGTGAGTAGACCTGGATAGAGGGGCGAGATGGACCAAGTGGTTAGAGTGCGAATTTACTGACCGGAAGGTACGTGGTTCAAACCCGACCTCTGCCTCTCGACTTCCCCTGTCTAGGCTTGGGCAGCCTGGCAGTATCCCAGCCCTTGCGCTTCGGGTGGGTGGCATGGCAGCTAGGGTGCTACAGCTGAACGGAAACTGGATAAAGTTAGGACGAAGGACACAGTGGTTTAGCCAGTCACCAGGCCTGCCGCCATGCGTTTTCATTTCACAAACTAATGCAAACCAACTGTGTGGTGCGTGAAAACAATAGATTGTGTTTTTTAAGTTTCGATCCTCAACTCCTCTAGTTAAAACCTAAACAAGCAGAGCTACCGAATTCTTGACTTGTCTGACTGGAAAGCTGGATGAAGTGAACAAGAATTTTGTCCTCATAAAGGAAACTACTCACAAGGTTGCTGAAAACTCTTCGACAGCCCACGACAGGTTTCGCCCTTCTTCGGGCTCATCAGGTAGACGCAGTCTTCAAGTTTCCGTCAGTCTTATGTTCTACTTGAACCCAAATCGGACTGTTTTTGAAAAATACACTCATTTGCAAATCAATTTGGTTTTCACGAGATACTCAAGAAGGGCGAAACCGGTCTTGGGCTGTCGAAGAGTTTTCAGCAACCTTGTGAGTAGTTTCCTTTATGAGGACAAAATTCTTGTTCACTTCATCCAGCTTTCCAGTCAGACAAGTCAAGAATTCGGTAGCTCTGCTTGTTTAGGTTTTAACTAGAGGAGTTGAGGATCGAAACTTAAAAAACACAATCTATTGTTTTCACGCACCACACAGTTGGTTTGCATTAGTTTGTGAAATGAAAACGCATGGCGGCAGGCCTGGTGACTGGCTAAACCACTGTGTCCTTCGTCCTAACTTTATCCAGTTTCCGTTCAGCTGTAGCACCCTAGCTGCCATGCCACCCGAGGGAAGCGCAAGGGCTGGGATACTGCCAGGCTGCCCAAGCCTAGACAGGGGAAGTCGAGAGGCAGAGGTCGGGTTTGAACCACGTACCTTCCGGTCAGTAAATTCGCACTCTAACCACTTGGTCCATCTCGCCCCTCTATCCAGGTCTACTCACCAATTGTGACTAAGTTAGAACCCAGCAATACGAACGCATTCGAGTACAGTGTTGCAATTGCAAAGAGAATTAGCTACGGTCAATCACCAGCGGATTTTGCACGTAACCACAAAAGAATAATGCCACGTCGGATAAAATCATTTCAGAGTTGCGATAAAATAAATTGCTTTCATCATTCAAGCGTGAAACCCCCCCGCCACCGGAAATGAGTGTTCCGCAATAGGTGACTGATGGGAAATTGGAAAAAAGTGCCCAATCAGTTGCAAAGCGATTAGACTGAAGAGATACGGATCAAGGCAATTTCCCTCAAATACCAAATGCGCAGAGTTCAAGTCGAAGGAAGCACTTTACCCTCGACAGCCCACGACAGGTTTCGCCCTTCTTCGGGCTCATCAGGTAGACGCAGTCTTCAAGTTTCCGTCAGTCTTATGTTCTACTTGAACCCAAATCGGACTGTTTTTGAAAAATACACTCATTTGCAAATCAATTTGGTTTTCACGAGATACTCAAGAAGGGCGAAACCGGTCTTGGGCTGTCGAAGAGTTTTCAGCAACCTTGTGAGTAGTTTCCTTCATGAAAATATACTGCGATATCTCGAATATCGTGCCAACTGAAACATGAGGCAGCCTGTGTGCAGCACATTCAGTTGTGGAGTATCATAAACGAGAGGTTCAGTTGAGTCACTCGTGGAAACCAAATTGATTTGCAAATGAGTCTATTTCTCAAAAAGAATCTAGTCCGGTTTCCGGCCGTAATTAAAGTATCTTTGAGTTTCTGAAGGTGGATAAGCACATTCAGGGGTCAGCTGAAACTAGTCGTTTGTGCGAAATGGTTGTTCTCAAGAGTACCAGTTCCAGCCGAGAACAATTGGTGTCTATTTTCTTACTGCGTTATTGTTTTAAAAAGCTGACACGCCAACATATCAGGCGAAACGTTGTTTTGGCAGTGTGCAGTGTCTCTTATCCCAGTATGAATCATTTCTAGAAGATTCTAGTTTGACATAGGTGGTTTTTCAACGGCGGGGGTTATTCAAGAAATCTTGGTTAATCCTCTAAGGCGGTACCTCCAAAAGGCTGGCAAAAAGTGTTGACGTGACGCCTACAATTAACGGAGCCACCCACTGTAAGGTTAACTGAAAGAAGCAACCTCTATTTCAGAGTTGATTAACTATCTTCGACTCTCTTCTCCTACAAAAGAGTGACAATCGCTTTTCCTCATATCAAAACAACAGAATTTTAGCCAATCATAAACGTCTTTATTGTCCAAAATTTTGTATCGTCACAAAACTGTTGACACACGTCCGAAATCGAGACTCACTGTCCGTGTGCAGCAAACCACTAAAGAGGAGCGAGTATTATAGTTGATAATTATCGAACAGCGAGATTTGAGCACGTCGACAATAGACCCGTTGAGTTACGGCCTTCTCAAATGCTGCTAGTTGATTGGTCCACTGACGCTCCATCGTGTTTTTGGCTTTGAGTTTCCTTAAACCGCATAATAAACAGAAAAGCTCTCCGCCAGCCCCTTTTAGAAAGTAGTAAATGATTACGGACAAGCACTTGATACAAACTCAACAGAACAATCAGGGTTGCTCATCGATCACCTACTCGCTAAGTGAAACTCAATCGCCAGTGTGGTGTTTGAGATTAGCAATTAGCCAGCCAGGTCACATCTCCATCGATCGATCAATAAATCAGTAATTAACTCTAGCAGTTATATAGCCTTATGTAAAGTTGATTTGGACTCATCCTGTGTTCACCGAGTCCATAGAAATCAAGTCACTACGCTAGTAGGTCAAGCACAAACGGGATGTAATCTCAGCTATCGTCAATTTCCAAATGCTGAACAAGTGAATCTCGGTAGACCGAGTAATATATATTGGAGATGATAGCTTTGTAGCACGTAAAGTGGGAAAGCATTTCCCAGTGTGCATCATCCAAACCGTTTAAAGTCCCAAAGACCAGGCAGGTAATTCAAAATCTCCAAAAACTAAAAACTCGGCCAAGAAGAAAATAGTCCAGAAGTCCGAACCCGATGGTTAACATTCGAAATTACTTCGAGCGCTAAACTTTGATGAGGCATAGCTGTGACAAGTGAAAAGCAAACAGCACATATTGCAGGATGACAAGTACTCAGCTTAGAGTTTAGTCCATACGAATAAAAATGGTGCACGATTTGAATTATACAAAAGCAAAAAAGTTCCATTACTGACCTGTAGACAGCATAGACTCCTGACTTGTACTAGTCACAAATGAGACCGTCTCTGACCCCAGTGTGGCCTCAGCAAAGGTTTAAAGTCTGGTCCAAAAGAGACAACTGGAGTTTTATCCCCGTGGGTCCAGTCCAAAGTTGATCGTTTTGGGCCGTGACCAGTCTGCAGGCGGGGTCACAGAGAATTGTTCAGCACCATTTGTATAACTTATTTGTGGGGCTCTTACTCATGACGTTAGACGCAGACGCGTTTATACATGTGATCAGCCCAAATGAGCACAGCTCACGGTGTTTGGTTGTCGTTCGGTTTCCCTAATAAAATATTCACAGTTTAGATCGGCTGTGGCGGGCCGTATTATCAAACGAAGAGATAAATTTGAAGAAATCGAAACCTCCGCAGGATCTGGAGCAGTCATTCAAGGACTAATATCATTGCTTTTCGAGGGTACCCCCAAAGAATATATACTAGTCCTGTATGAAAAGAAAGCCCATGTGGAAACATGATCTTGGAGGATATGCAAAAGGTTTTGCCTGAGGAAAAAACATACTACTCACTTACGGTAGTCTAATCTTCCTACAGAATGATCTTATAATTCAGTGCATGTTCGTCTTAGTATCTAAAATACGCAACTTTTTGTTCATGCGTTGGTCACATCGCTGTTTCGGGAGATGAAAATTGACTTGGAACTGAGCAGTACTCCAATAAACCCTGGAAGTAAACTGTGCAAACATGTTACCCTTTTCTAGCAATGGGATTGAAACTACATGTTTCGTGTGTCTACCAGATAAGGGTGTAATTGACTGGTCCTCTTTTATGGATGGTGCGTATCAGTTAGCAACTGAATAAAAATAGACTTAACAAGGAATTTGCCAACAATTATTCGCTAACCAGACTACAATTAGCTGGTCACGATCATGATACAGATACGAGACATCATCGCTGTTTCGGGAGATGAAAATTGACTTGGAACTGAGCAGTACTCCAATAAACCCTGGAAGTAAACTGTGCAAACATGTTACCCTTTTCTAGCAATGGGATTGAAACTACATGTTTCGTGTGTCTACCAGATAAGGGTGTAATTGACTGGTCCTCTTTTATGGATGGTGCGTATCAGTTAGACAGCTGAATAAAATAGACTTAACGAGGAATTTGCCAACAATTATTCGCTAACCAGACTACAATTAGCTGGTCACGATCATGATACAGATACGAGACATCCTTGCTCCTCTTTCATGGCACAAAACGGTGAACAAATGTTTTCTAAATAACGGTGATAAAACGATAAAAGTATGTCTATGTAGCATCTTGTGTACTGTGACAACCGTTTCCATCTCAAACAAGTGAATAACAGGTTTCAATTTGTGAAATTCTGAGGTAAGATGGGTTTGCGAGGGTTTGCTATTCTGTTCAATGGATTTTTAACCAAAACTTGCTTCAAAAGTTAGAAAAGGGATCGTTTTTCCAGTGTCCTCAATGGACTGGTCCGGACTGGTTAATTTTGTAGCCTGGTATTTCTGAGGATGATGGTGCTCCCAGAAAAGGACAGCTATAATTGATGTTTCATGTCTAGTCTAGTCCATTGTTTCGATCACACGACTAACATGTTTGTTCATTCGCTAAAAATTTCACCGGGTAGAGAAAATCGTGAATGATAGGAAGTGGGAAAATTCTCTAGGCGAAGCTACTCTGAACTGGAGGTCCTCTGGCGAAATACACTTAGTTGCCAGCAAATTTGATTTTTGCGAGAGACTAACCTAGAACCAAGCTAACTAGCTCGTTTATGATGTGTCTGAGCAACTGCACCAGGTCGCCTGACGTTTCAGTTGGTACGATATTCGAGATATCGCGATACAGTTCTAGAGTTTCAAGCAATCTTATGTTCTGCTTGAAACCAGATTGCTGGATTCAGGGTGGGTCACTCGCAAAACCAAATTTGTTTACAAATGAGTGTGTTTCGCTAATTTCGTGCAATTTGGTTTCCATTAGAATATAAGGCTGACGGAATCTCGGGGACCTACCTTACCTGATGAGCTCCAATAAGGGCAAAACCGGCCGTGGTCTGTCGAAGAATTCTCAGCAACCTTATAAGTAGTGTATTACGTCTAAAGAACCTCTAGTTTCCGTCCCATTTTGCTTAAAACTGGGTGATAAACCTGTGGACATAAATTTGTAAGTCCACCTTAAACTTCCCGTAAACAACTCCAAACGGAGCTGTCGGTACGCATTATTCTGATAGACATTCACATAGCTAAAGCGCCCATCTCGCAGACCGTACTGCAATTGATCTAAATCGTAGTAACCTCATGTGTCCCAGGCCAAATTTAGGTGCCGGATCACTTTGCATCAGCCCCTGTCTACCTGCAATGTGCATCCCCTTACTGGGCCAGAGCTTCTAAGCCTGAGGACACATATACCACAGTGAATGTATTGGGCACATACGATAGGCATTGGCTACCACTGCCCAGGGGGTTCTGCAGACTTCCCTTCCACCATCATGCAGCGAGTCAGCTGATTTCCACTTAATCGATCTCGGCGGCGCACAGCGATTTCCGGTAAACCAACATTAACCAGCCACATCTACCATATTCAGCTGATTTCCACTTAATCGATCTCGGCAGCACACAGCGGTAAACCAACATTAACCAAACACAGCTACCATATGTGACTTGCATAGAAGGGCCGGTCTACTCACAGAAGCAAGCAATGCAAGCTTGTTAACCTTAGTAAGTCAAAAAGAATCTATTGAGCATGGATTGCGTTCACTAGTCAGTGCACATCAAGTATGAAAAACCTCTGTTCATACTTTCCTGTCGGATCAGTGTACTGTAACAGCTTGTGTCGCTTACACGTACACCTGAGCTTGGCCACTGCGTGTGGATTCGAATCGCCTGAGAGCCATAGAAAGGTGTGGGCTCATACACCCATGTATGGGGGAGAAACAGCTCTCATGGTCTACCTCTGTTGAAAACTGTAATGAGGCGGTCACGTGAGTTCAGACAGAAACTAAATATAGATGCGGTGCCTTAAAACAGTGCTGTTACGGAGGCTAATGGGCGGAGTAGAGATCAGTATGAAAGTGACGTTTGGTACAACGACCAGAAAAGAATGGGAACGTGAGATTGGAATCATGAATCTCTAGCTCAGTAGCATTCATAGTTATGTTGGATCTGATTACAACGCTTGCCGTATCCAGTAGGCCGATATACCTCATAGTTTCAATAGCTTTCATCTTAAAAATTTTGAAATCCTGAATTCTGCTCGGGTGCTCTAACGACATGAGGAACCGTGTAGAAGTTTTAGACAATTTTCTACATGACATTTATTCATGTTCTACCGTTCTGATCCGGAAACCGGGTACAAGTTGGATTGAAGTGACCCAATTGATAGACGCCAACAAACGAGACTACAACTTCTAAACATATATCACTTATAGTCCCAAAACAGGAAACGAGATTATATGAAAAAATGGTTTTCAGGAAGGCCTCAATTTCGACCGAACTTCGTCACTGGGCAAACAAAAACTTCGCAAACTTCCCTCCTTGATTTCTGGAGGGAGTATGGTCGGTTGCGAGTTTTTATACCGAGACCATTGGTTCCGGATGTAGGTTGGCTTTATACCGAGACTAGGTCAGGGCTTATCGATTTTTATGGCGTCATATCCAGCGCATATTGATTAGTGTATTGGACTGAGTCAAAAGAGGATAGTAGGCAAATCCTGCAGATGCGTTTTTGATATTGTTACAAATTTCAAAATAGAGTTATGTTGAGTTTAGCATAGCAGTAGCAATTCTGTGCTCAAAGAACCTTGACCCACATCAGCTCACATGTCCCCTTGCACTGTATGAGTCAGGCTTGTATGTCATCTATTCGGCATTATGCTTTTAAAACAGTGATTGACTGACCTCGTCAACGTCCTGGAGACCGCCAATAAGAACCTTAAATGGTTTGCTGTTGCAAGTCCCCGGTTCGGGTCGCCGGTTTGTTCCAGCGTGTTATTCTTCTGTCCAGCACCCTGTCTGTGACATAATCAGTGTGATACACAGCGATTCCTTGGCGAAAATTCGATTAATTGGTTAAATATTCTAAACTTGCCTTGGCCCTATCAGATAATAAATTTGGAGAAGGTGACTTTTTTTACCACATTGATTGAGGAAGAAACAAATTACTCAGGTTTCTCGCTTTGCCACTCCAGACATTTTGGAGCTAGGAAAAGATCGATTTGGCCACGATTCTACATATTAATCTGATTACTGATCACTGCCAACCAGCCTCACGTCTGCACTTTGGGTGGATTCAATCAGCCGGCCGAGCGACTTGGGCGTCTTCTTCGTAATGTCCGGTTCTTTACGCTTTGACTCGACAACCAGAAGCGTTGCTTGAGCACACTACTAACTTCAGAACGATCCCGTCTATGCTCCCCCTTCATTATTGTTCTCTGAGATTTATGCTACGTCAAAACCGTTCAGATGTTGGGACACGAGACTCAACACGATCTAGGCAGGCTGTTTATCCACCTTGCACTAGGGATCCTTGGAACGGGTGCCATTCTACTCTGCTTTTGTCCCACCAACTAAGTAGTTACTTGCGACAAAAACCTCCGTTTTATTCCCCCGGAGTTTCCGCACTTCGCCGTGCTATCGTGTACGGTAGAAAGTCATCGAAGAAGACGCTTTTAAAATGATGATAAGTATCCATTTACTGATGGAATTTACGAGTTGCCAACCGTAGGCCTACCAAATCCTGGTCGAATAGAACCGCGGGAACTGTTTTAACATACTGAAGGAGCAGTTATATTTCTGCACACATCCAGGAAGAAGGTTACTGCCATCGTGCATGACCCTCGATCCTTTTACTGCCAGCTACCGAGAAAAACTTCAGTGTCAGAGTTTGTGTCAAATAAATGCGTAAAATGGCTCTTTTTAATGCATTTTCATATCCAATACGTCTGAGTATCTTATCGTACATCGTATCGTTCAGCTACGGTAACCTTTTGGTGCCTAACTTCCACGCCACCAGAAGGAAGAATGATGGTTGGGATACCGCCAGGCTGTCCAAGTCTACACAGGAGTGGTCGAGATGCAGATTTTGGGTTTGAACAAAGAGCTTCGGGTCAGTAGATCTGCACTCTAACCACTAAGCCATCTCGTCTCCTTGAGCAATCTCTTCCCCAATAAGCCATCTCACACGCTATGTCTATATCTGGGCGGAACAATATTATGCAATGATGGCTATATAAGTGTATCATCACATAGAGAGATGGAGGGGGAGAATACGATTCTACTATGTTTAATACGTCGACGCAAGTGCTTTCAGTTTTATCCCTCAAAATGACTCGCAAACTTTTAACTGACTGCTACGGCGCTACTTTAAGCAACGTAATCCCACAGACAACTGACTCCCCGAAAACTCTTTCAACTGGGAATGTCACACACGACCATGTTATCCATCCATTTTGGAAAGCGTGAACATCACTCGTTGCTTCCGGACGTAGGTTAGCTCTCTTCTTTGCCCGGCTAGTCCTCCACTCTAGCAACATCGCCGGACCGACAGAATCCGCTGGCCGGTTTCCTAGAGGTTCTGTTAGTTTTTGTTCAAGAGAGTGTACCGGGCATAGTTGAAAGTCCTAACCGAACTGCCCTTAAGACTTGTGCTCCACACCGCCTATCGGAACACATACCCCTACGTACTGAATGTCTCCATCCCTTCACCGTTAATATGTAATAGGGATATCACTATGAGGCTACCTTGATTCTTCATCTCACCTAAACGGATGAGTTCACTCAAACTACTCATCACTTTCCATTCAACTTACACCTGAGTTGTATTCACACTTCCATTGGGATAGCTAAGCCGTCCACATGAGCATGAGAGACTAGATAGATACAGTCCTTTTGGTTTTTTTTGCAACAAGCACTGTACAGCCCCGAGAATCAAGTCCCTTCCATCAGAGAGTTGGAAGCTACTTTTCGCAAACTGCGATGGTCCTGGGGTCAACACTTTTTTGGGGGAAAAATCTATTTCTGGCGACTCACTTGTGTACATAACTTGAGTGGGTGATTGACTCTTCAAGGTTACAAAATGTCCTGAATTAAAGAGAAGTACAATGCCCAACTAGCTGAAAATGTGTAGCCAGCAAACAGCTGTGTCATAGGTGGCCTCTAGCATGAGGTATACACGGTTTTTCGAACTCACTAATAAGTCTCCTGGAGGCTTTCTCCTGTGACCAACTTTATGGAAATTGTATCACTCTAAATGAATGGGATGACCAGTGGATATCATGAAGTTATGTTCAGAGCGTTATCACACTCGGGGACGTCTGATAGTTTGTACGATGGTGTCTTCATGAAATAATAGGGGGCAATCAACAGAGTTGCATTGAGTTTTGTGCATCTTTAGGCTTCAGTTCTCTTCTACAAACCCCCCCAAAAAACAGTATCACTGCTGATGGTATTGTCAAATTGATATTGAGAAAGATTAACGCGGACACGTTTTTGATTACGGATTTCTAGATTGGCTAACTAATCATAGAGGTTTTTACCTATTTTATCAGCAGAAACCACGGAGGAACTGTTATGTGCCAGCCGAACATGATCGCAGGTATCGGTAGACCTCCAACGTCATTGGAATAGGTTGGAATGTGGTAGTTGAATTAGTTCTGCTTATGAGATCCTACACGTGTTCTCCCTCGATAGGTGCCGTTCCCTAGTAGCATAGCTTAGCCATAGCCTATGAACAAGATGAATAATGTGTCTTTCCGAGTACATATTTTGTGAAATGACAAAGTGATGGCCTGTGTGCACAGGACGTCCATGCGACACTCTGTCATACCAGCTTGGGGCTTGGAAACCGCGGCAACGTTTTCTTTGAACAAAGCACTGTACTTCCCTTCATTGCCTCTACTACTGCCTTGCACTCACGATTTTGAGCAAAAGGCTTTGGTCGTAGACCCCAGTAGTCCTCCTAGGAGACCTGGCAGTATCCCAGTCAAAGAATAGCCATCATAACCAACAATGCTCTCATCGGCCATCGCGTGCTGACATCAGTCGGGTTGGCTTGCTTGCTGTATCCAGCATGGCTAGTGCTGACGCCTCCTTTCTTGCTCTTCCACATATTTATTCGTCCTTCTCTCCCAATCCATTCATACCTCTCTCCTGTTTGGCTCATCCCCCAGGACTGTCAAGGTGCGGCAGCGAAACATCCGTGTTGAATACTGATGTTATGCTGTCCATGATGATGGTGATGAACATGATGAGCTGCTGACGTAAGCTAACCTGGCTCACATATCTGACTAACATTCAGCGCGGGACCTAGTCAGCTCAGGGGACGCAACTTGCGTTCAAAGTGAACCAGCTCATAGAAGCTGATGACAAGTGAAAAACGCATCAGAACTGTGCATCATGGACAGAACATGTCGGTGATTTTCCAGCGACTTTGGAGTCACGATGATACCAGAGCTGTGAAACGACTGATTGAAACAGGAAATATAGTGGAATTTCTAAGTGCCTCCCAGACGTTGAGGTTGCTAGAAACAAAATGGTCTCACCACTTATTCTGACTCGAGGGAGTAGCCATCTCCTGGTGGGGTTCGATTACGCGGGATAAACCTTTGTCACCACCCTGTCCGAGTGGGATTTTTCTAAAAAAAACTCGTTTTTTTAACGGGATTGCCGGGGTTTCTTTCAGTTGCTCGTGGACAATCTGGTTTTGGTCACCAACCACTTGGACATGGTCGGATCCAGCATACGCTCGTTCGCTAACTTGACAAGACTGCATACTAAGGCACGTAAATGAAGGCCGCAGTTGAAGTCTTTATTCACGAAGTTGTCCTGAAACGTATGTAGAATGAAACTCCATCTAAAATGTTTCTTTTTAGCCCACTGAAGCACTGGATAAAAAATAAATATAAATAAAGATCGTTCAGCTGTAGCACCCTTTCGGTGCCTAGCTGCCATGCTATTTGAAGGAAGCACGAGGGCTGTGATACTACCAGGTTGCCCAAGCCTAGACAGGGAAAGTTGAGAGGCAGAGGCTGGGTTCGAACCACGAACCTTCCGGTCAGTAAATTTGCGCTGTAACCACTGAGTCATTTCGCACTGAATAAAACTAAATCCGGTCGTAAATCTTGAACCCTGCTTCAATGAACTTTCCAGATTATCATAGTTAACATTAACTTGACACAGATGAACTATTCACCAACAAGTACTGGGAGTTTTAGGATTCCTGAGCACCAGATTCCTAAGTGGTTATTAAAGGAAGTATTCGTTGCAGATAACCTGGCTGCTGTCTGTTTGCCTACCTGGTGTGGCGTAGCCCAGCGAAACAATGCCCCAGTCACCAGTCCACAAATCCTACAATCACGTGAAGGCACCAGCAAAAATTCCAAGGTCGTTTTATTACAAATGCCGTGGAGAAAGTTATGATCGTCGTCTGATTTCAAATGAATTTTGAAGGCTTGAAAACTTGTTTGTTGGTGGTGTGATGGATTTTGGAATTTTCAGTTGAAATATTGTTCCGCAACTGAAGTCAGTCTATGCTTAAAAGGCGAGAAGCGCTGCCCAACACTTCCGTCCCTAACTGAAATCATCCGCGGGGCGGATCCAAAGAAACTCCGAATAATTTCGAAACCAAGGCCTCCCGGCTGCTAGTTGTTTGAAAGCTTAACTGTTCGGCCAGGTGTGGCTGGCTGCGAGTGTGTTTGACTGGTGTGTTGTAGTCTCTCAGGTTTTTCTTTGCTTGACCTAAAAATACGATCCGACATGGTTAGCGCGAAAGCCGCTGTGCTGGTTTCCAGAGTTTCGGTCCAATTGGACACCCTCGCACACCCCTTCGTGGACTGGTTCATGGTCGCATAAATGGGCTTTCGGAGAGGGCGGGAGCAACATGTAGGAAATAGATTCGCATTCATGACTGTTTCTTCATATTGGAAATCATCACTAATGCACATCTTGACTCTCTGGAGTACAACCTCTTGGCTATTAGTTCGCCCACGAGCAGCTGATCATCAGGTTGATAACCGTGCACTTAGATAGGGTCTAGCGCCACTCATCCTTCAATAACAGAAGCCACATCACCTACTCACATACTGAGTGGCCTCCCGAATGACCACAGCTATACAGTGTTTCTCTGGAGCGAGATGGTCCAAGTGGTTAGAGCGCGAATTTACTGACCAAAGCGTCCGTGGTTCAAACCCGACCTCCGCCTCTCGACTTCCCCTGTCTAGGTCTGGGCACTCTCGCAGTATCCCAGCCCTCGTGCCTCCTTCGTGTGGAATGGCAGCTAGGCACCGAAAGGGTGCTGCAGCTGAACGATACAGCGTTTCTCAGCCTGGATTCAATGACAGGACGAAATCTCCATTCATTATCAATATTTCTTTGGTGTCGACCAGACAAAAATTGAGTCTTTCCAACTAGCCGTTTCCTTAGTTTCGGAAAATCCGTACATCCATTTTAAAGATGCAGGATTTTTTTTACCTGCTTAAAGTCCTACTGAGTCAAAAAATGCCACTTTCAACTCCTTACCAAATGGTGTTCAAAATGTCATTGTTCTGGCATTTGCGTACCTGTTGTAATAAGCAAGTTCACAGAGTCATCGGTTCCAATAATGATCTAGTAGATTTAAACATTGTAACACTTTGATTAGACGCATAATTGCCCGACGGAATGCGGAGCGGTGAAATGTCGTAGCGACAGAAAAACGCGAGAACGAATTTTTAAACTATTCGGATCTGGATTTGAAGTAGTGTGATGCGTGAACCCATATAATGGTAGACAGTGTAGGCGGACATTTCAATTACACCTTTGGAAAGCGTCTTTATAGCCTGTGGGTGAGAATACCTGGCAAGGTTTTAGAGGCAGAAGGTGGATATGAAAAATCAGAATGTGGGGTTTCATGAATGACAAGGCTGAATCCACCTGACAGAAGTAAGCATCGTTATATAATGAAATATTCTGTATTAAATAGCACTAATTATTGCCCAGCTGCAGTGTCCTTTCGGTACCACGCCACTCGAAGGAAGCACGAAGACTGAGATAATGCCAGGTTGCAAAGATCTAGAGGGAATCAGCCTGCGTGTTAAGGTTGGGATCGGACCACGGATCTTCCGGTCAGCGATTTCGCTAAGCTCTCTCAAAGTCTTCGCCTATTTATAGCAACTTTTGAACGCCCCACTCAGACGGCATCTGGGCCCAGAAGAGATACTGGCCTGTGTAACAAAGCAGTCTCCGTTGGGATATCATCTGCCCTTAGGATTCGTACATAATCAGGCTCCCTCATACCATTCGTAGTAGAGTGAGGAGGTCGAGTGACTCACACGAGATTTCGTCCCGTCAGGGAAGCCAGAAACTCAGTGAATTTCGAACTCGCAAGCTTCCGGCCGGTCTGAACAGGCTGAACAGTACCGTGATTGGCTTCCACTTAGACAGGATATAACGTTCCTTCAATCACAGTGTCCACATCACGTGGTCACGTGTGTGGACTAGCTTTTCGGGTGATAACTTCTCCGATAGAATTCTCGCTCATTTTGTGAGGTTATTCATAGTTGATGCAAGTAGGGTTTTGCGGGAGGTGTATTGTTCAGTTTCACATCACTCTCGTCCTGGCGCAATTATTCATGTGAATCCACACCAAAGGGGGGAAACACTGGAGTCGAGTTTCGCTCTTGTTAGAGCTCATCAGCAGTGCATATCCAATGCCCGTGACGGGTTTGAACTCCGGTCACCTGACATGCGAGGCGAACGTGCAACCACTATTCCACCATCGCACGTTGGACGCACCTGAATTCTCACGCCTGAACAGGCGAACGTCTCCGCACTTGAGCGAGTGAGTGAGGCACTGAGAAGTCGAGAAAAGCTGTAGTGCTGTTTCCTCCTTATTGAGAATTATCAGTCGTATGCATCTCCCCAAACTCAGAAAGTTTCCGCTATTGAAATATCCAAACTACGCCCATGTGGGAAATTTTGTCTAACGTTCACTTTCTTTCTTACTAATTTTCGGCCTCACATTGTTCCTATTTTGAATTCAACTGTGCATTGGACATCATTCTATTCTAGAATGTGCTTTCCAGGATCTATAGCAGTTCCCCGTCGCGTAAGATGGTAGGCTCTACCGCATATGATATTTTTGGAAATGTCCTCGATTTAAGACACTGATGAGTTTTCCAGCAAAAGTGATCACAACTAAGGTTAAAATGGAACGCAATGTAATTTGTTTTCTACGGATCCGCTCCAGCCAATAAAAACTAGAGAGGTAGTTACCAATACATGGACAGGTAGATTACACTCACGTCAAGGAATTCTCGGGTTGCTAGCCCAAACAACTGTTCACGACAACTTTGTTTGGTTTTAATTCAAGTTGACAAGTTGATCAGAGGAAAAAAACTTTGATTGAGTTGTTTGTTGCCGCTACTAAGTCTGTTAATTTATTACGTGCCTCATAAAAGCTTTTGGTTTGAAAGTCGCCTGTTAGATTTTGCCGCCGTTTCTGTGATAAGAACTTGGGGGGGGGGGGTTATTTTACGGAGAAAAGACAGAGGAGCTTGTGAAAGCCATTTGGCAAAATCAGATAGGCGCAGTACCCCAGTTTTTATCAACCTTATGTTTTAATTGAGACCAAATTGCACGAAATTAGCGAAATACACTCATTTGCAAACTCATTTGGTTTTGCGGGAGACTCGATTGGAACCCAGCTGGATCCCTCGTTTGTGATGTTTCCAAGCAACTGAATTGGCTGCACCAGGCCACCTCATGTTTCAGTTGCTTCTTACCTTCATCAATTTCCTTGAAGGCTCTCTGATGTGAATGTTTTTGTAGTGCGGCACTCTTGCAAATTCATCTTTTACCGGGCAGATCAACAAATCTCCGCAATGAGAATTGCTCACACGAAGAGACCATACGTACATCGCAACAGTACTTATAGGACCATCCACTCCAAGTGGAAAGCTTCGAGAGACTTCTGGAGGAAAATTTCGATAAAAGCAATTGCAGTGAGGTCAGCTCATGCTGACAATGCAAGAACTTTACAGTTATTTCATCCATATTAGGAATCCTCGGCAGTGAGTGAGCACTGTTGAGTACTGTTGTTCGGTCTAGAGCCGTTGCAGAGCAGCGTGATTAGTTCTCAGACGAGGTATAGAACTGCTCATTCTTCAGTTGCAGAAACCGCTACCCGTGGACTTGTGTTGACTGCTGCTCGAACAACCACTTCTCAGTTGGGAGATTTACGCAGAAGTTATTCTTCTTGCAGAGTCAACAAGAATATTACTGTAATCAACTGATGTGCTTATGCCCCAAGATGTGAAAAATACCACCTCACGGTACCTTCTTATTACTGGTATTTCCAGGCTGTCTTCCCTCAGAACAGTTTAAATCACCATGCTTCACTGTTATCAGATGTATAGTTAAAGTTTCAACCACCCCTGAACAAGGCACCCACCAACTCAGCTTTGAAGGTGTGCAAGTTCACACCTGCCTGCACTAACTGCACTATTACAGGATGACCATCGGACGGTTAGCCGGTACAGCATATTCGTGAGCCAGAAGGGCATCCACCTCTTGAAGATATGAGGCGTGAAACATTTTGTCGTCCTGTCCAAACACCTCAACCTCGTTTCTACTCAAAACAACCAATAACAGCCGTGAATGTTCAAATGTCCGCCTCAGTCCGTAGCGGTCTGACTAACCAATCAATGAATTTTGCTGGGAGGATAACGTACTTTCTAAATAAGGCGCAAATAATCTCTGATCAATGCGATATGACCATCAAGGCACGCAAAACCTAATGATAGAGTTATCAAGTACGAAAAGCGAACTGGGCTTTTGATTACTTGTCACTTTTTCACCCGAAGTGCACCAGTGGAACTTGGTACAGCAAGTGATGTCTGCTGTCAACACCGTTCAGCAAGCAAACAGAAGGTGCAAAGTGCAGGAACACAAAAACTTTCCACGTTCTTATGCCCGCACTGTGCGTGAATAGCTGCAGGCAGATAAACTTTCCAAATGTTACACATGTTACCGAATGACAGAGGTTCTTAACATGCAGTCCGTGGATGTAACAGCCACAAGGGTCTACGTCCAAATTGATTAACATTTTCCAAATCAGAGAGGTACAGGTTAGGAATGAAGAATGGAATACTTTAGGTAGACAAAACTCTCTTGGAGATTAAACTCATGCTAGCCTCCGTCATTTGATTTCGGTTTGTTGTAATGTCTGGGTTCCCCGTACTTAACGCGAATTTTTGAAAACAGTACCTAAACCCTGACGACGTTTGACATGAGGTTTACCAGGTGGAACTTTTTTCGCATGAAAGTTTGCTTGTATTTAGTGGAAGCAAATATCTGGAGTTGTTCCCAAAGGCATAGTAAGCGACTCGTAGGCTGGAAGGACGATACTGTGGGTGTAACGGTGATACTACTGATGGGGACGCATGCGAGTAGTATACTTTTTTGTAAATCCGCTTTGGGTCTCTTGGAAACTAAGATCTATCGTGGAATTTGTGGAGTCGCTTTGTAGCGTTTGCTTGGATTTGAGCAACAGTCAATGAATATCCAGGAAAATCCAAGAAGACGCGTTCAAAGAGAAGATGGATGTGCAGTTTTTATAAAACAAGATGCATATGTGAGTTTTGCTTCTCAGTCCAATAGTCTGTAACCGGTCTGTTGGCATTTTATAATAAATAGCTCCGCAGTGAAGACCTTTTTCCTTTCAGGCGTAGCCGCTCATTAGTCCGAAGTACACCAACCTCTTTTGACTGTTGACTAACGTCCATCATGGTCGGTAGTCTGGGCATCCAAGTTATACCGTACAGTAAGACTTGTCGTTAATGGTAGTAGGACACAAAACGAACTATTACTCCAGTTGTGTCTGCTAACATCACCACAGAATTCACCTTTTCCACCACGACCATTCCCAATGTGAAAAACTAATCGGCGAATTGTGAGTAGCAATTTAGGAACACCAATTAAAAAAACTGCAAACGGAGCTCAGAAGCTCGACAGTTTTCCGTCAATCAACTTGAAAAGTGATCAGCAAGATGTCTAATCACAAGTTGTCTTGAAAGCCCACTTGAATGATGGAACTGGCGGAATTTGACACCCGACGGCGCTTACCAGAATCAAGACGACACTTTCTTCTTCAGTAGAAGGCTGAAAGCAGGGACTAACTTGAGATTGACTTGTGGAGATACTCTATACTGGCGTTTTACACCAGGATTGTCAACATTTTTGAACACTCAAGTGTCTGTTTTCGGAGAAGTTTGGTAACAATCGGTGGTGTCAGATGCTTCCTGCCTAATGCCTCTGTTGATGCTTCTTTTCCGTTTTTGCGGAACGCACAGACGTGCTGGCAAATATCCAATTGTCTGCATTCACACAACCTCCTAATTGCCTATCAGTCTGCCCGTTGTGGAGACATAATCTCCTTGTCCAGTCGTCCTAAATGAGAGGAGATTTCAGAATACAAGTTTATCCTATTCCTACCAGGAATTTGACTTTTGTTTCGCTTTCCACAAACGCATAACACCGACCGTCTTTTATTTTTGTCTGCGTGTGTGCAGAGCTTCACAGAGAGTTGCGTCAAAACCCTTTGATTTCGCGTTTGTCTTCGAAAAACAAAAAAACTCATCACTAACAGCTCAATGCAGGAAGTACATAAAATGCCCTTTAACCCTTTCAGAAACATCTAAAAGATGGTAAAGCGTAAATTTCAAGGCTTCGGTTACTGGAAGTCTTGGGGCTAGGAATAAGTAGACTTCATACAGCAAAGACCAGGTCCATCT